GCAAAAATGGGATTTGAAGCTTCGTTTTTGAATTATTAAGGAAAAAACACGGACCAATCAGAGCGCGAGGATTACGCGCGTTCAGTCACTAGGCTCGAAGCCGTCGCTCTCGCGTCTGCGCACGCGTAATCCTCGCGCTCTGATTGGTCCGTGTTTTTGCTTAATAATTCAAAAACGAAGTTTCAAACCCTATTTTTGCAAAAGGAAATCTTATTCAGAATTACGTCAGCTTCCCCCCAGTTCAGGGACCTACGCTAATTGTGAGACACCCTGTATAAAACTTCGCAATATCGAAAAATGTTCAAAAAGAGTCTAGTACTTAGCTGACCCAATAAAGCTGTTCGAGTTTTCTTAAAATAAAGTGTGTTGTCAATTCTCCCGGAATCCAGCAATACTACATTAGAGTTCCTTTACACTAATGATTCTACATGTCGTTTAATCGTCACATACTGCAGACACTGCGAAGCACATACATCGCGATTAATGTAAAATAGCAATTTTGTCGACTACACTGAGTAAAAAGAACTTCAACGGCAGAACCCGTGCAAATTCTACAAAACGATGCAGGGAATGTTATAATAGGTCATGCTAATTGGAACTTCCTGGAACATCACACAGCGAAATAGCTTTCGTCGGCGTATTATACTTTCAGCATCTGCTCATCCTCAGGGACGTAAACCAAATAGGGACGTACAATCGGAATGGATTCGTTTGTGATCGTCGTGATGATCAGTACTTTCTTTATATTGTTGATTTTTCAGGGAAATCGATATTCATTTATGGAGAAACGAATACTCGAGTGTTGTAGTTTGTACTTCTCCAAAAATTATTACCATAATGGTTAAATCTTGTATTAGAACTTGCTGGTTGTTCGGAGAAATCAAAGGTCAATTTCGAGGGTATAAATCAGTGGTTCTCAATCTTTTCGTAAATTCGAAATTAACATGTAAGGATATGTATGTGGTATTTTGTGTACAGTGCATTGTATTTTAAATATAATACTATAAGACAAATGTGATAGAAAATATTTTATGACAAAATATACTTAATGACTATAAGTGATAACCTAATATAATATATTCTGACATGATAACCCGATGACATAATCTGATAAATATGATGGAAAATATAATATGTTGTACTGTGTTAATATAGTACACTCTATTAAAATATAGTATATTATTATAATAGTGTGTGCAGTATTATATATTATATTATATAATTATAAATAAATACAGAATTTCATAACTTGACATTTTGTATTGTGATATATAAGTGCTATATAAGTGAGTGTATATGATTTATATAAGTTAATATAAATTATATATTAATAAGATTTATATAATAATATTATATAATAATATTATATAATAATATTTAGTTTTTCTAATATTTATTTTTAATAATAGTTAACGAAATATTGACAAGTGACGTTGTACTTATTAATTAATTTACTTTCGTTTGACACAAAATTTTGCAAAACTTAGACGAAAAATTTGAATGGTCTGTAATAAAGAAATTTAAATAATTAATGATATTAATGTATAAAACGACAATCTCCAAATTATCGATGCGTTAGTAAAATGTTCCTATACTCCACTTTTGACACGTACAATGAATCTTGCACCACTGCTGTAATTAATATACCTGTGTTGTTAATTACCTTGAACTACGTTACTAATTAATCAGTATATCAATTACAGTGTATTAATTTTTGTTCCATATTTACTCTTCAAATTTTACATTCTACATCATTTTCATTTTTCTATATTATTCATTATTTATTATTATTTCATTTATTTGTATTATATGTATATTATTCATTCTTTCATTTATCTATACTATTTACACGAAACTAAGCTATTTATACTATTTATTATTTATACAAAAATTTTTTAAATTTCCAACAAAAAATTTCTGTGTATTTCTATTTTACTACGTGTATTATTTATTGAGTACTCAAAATGTCCTTTGTTGCAAAGGACTAAATATTTAATTTCATTTGAAGTACCCCTGTTCACATTTTGTAACTTTGATTAATTATAGTTAATTTTAGTTTGCTTTCCAAGTACATATTAGCTTTTATTCTCTTTATAACTCTTGGAATGTAATAACGGTGATACGATTACATAAATAAAAAATTAGCTTTGCTTTTATTTTTGCAACCTTTCTACCTGCCTTTAGAGAACCCCTTCAGGCTTCATTTCAAAAAGCTTTCTGTTGCATTGTGTATGAAAATATTATAATTAATCCTCCATAGACGAGCTGGACCGTTGACGGCACAAAGGTTCGTGTTTCCTCTGAATTTTTATTTTTAATGTAAAAAGTTTTAAACGTTCGACGTATCGAACGATTGTGTAACATGGGACTCCGATAAGTACCCCAAAATATTTTTAAATTTTTTGAAACTTTTAAACGGTAAAATAACGTAAATAACTTTGTACGAATGTATATAGTTCTACTGATACTCAAACATGGTACACCAAATAAATTTTATTCTAATTGTAAATATATTTTATTTGAATTGTAAATGTAATATTGCGTATCAATTGCGGATATAATTTTTTATTTGAATTGTAAATGAAATTACTGTATTTTAATGCTAACTACAATATTTGATTTTAATTATAAATACGATACTGTATTTTAATACAAATTACATTTCATTTTACATGTAAATACTGTGTTTTAATTATAAACATATTTTTTTCAATTACGTATTTAGTAATTATGTTTTCCTACAGAATGTAACATAAAAAATTATTAATTAAAATCTGGAGAAACTATAAAATTAGAAAATTGTAAAATTAATAACGCAATCAACTTTTAATTTATGTATGATATTAATAATGTCAAACAGATTAAACATTTAACAAAAGAATAAAGACTCAATTATAACGATTTTGAATTATGAGTTATTTTTTCGTTATACGATATTTTTGATTATGAGAATTTAATTTTTGAGTTTTTATAAATCATATTAAATTAACAAGAAGTATATTGATGATGAGAGAATAAATGGATTAACATTTCCGTCCACTAATGGAAACTATGATTACTTTTTACATCGCCATCAGACTTCGCGCTGCATTCTTGTTTTATTTGGATTTTGGCTTTTATGTTTTCCGTATAATTGAACCATCAATATTGTATTGCACTTTTTAAATAAACAATTTTTGTTTTTGATACATTTTTATTACGTCACTTCGAACACAGATCCTGCCCCACAACAGATAACAATAAACAAATATATTTTGCTAGAAAAATTAAACAAAAATAATGCTCTGATATAAATTTGCAATAGTTTGAAAATACACGACAAAAGATTATAATTACAAAAAACAACTAATATTTTCAATAAGTTCATTAAATGTAGAATTTATAATTCTTTTGCATTTAACAAAATATATTTACATTCTGAAACAGATTTTGAGTTTTGTGTTACTTACAACACAGCACAAACGCAATAGAATCGTTAAGAACGTGTTCATTGGTATTTTTATTTATTTATTACATGTGCAAAAAATATGAATTATTACTGTTTCAGCAGTAAAAGTATAATTCAGTAATAAAAAAATTATTACTATTTTAGTGAATAAAAGATAGAATTTCGCATGTTATCTACATCGTTGTCAGAAAAGTTTTTCGCTGCAGATGCAATAAAATAAAATATTACAGAAAGCAGTAAGCTATAAAAATTGTATAATTAGAAAATTCATAACGAAGCTTTATTTCCAAAGAAGAAATGAATTTTTATCCGCAACTGCGGGTTTCCCTGCATCATAAACCAAATCATAGCGATCATGCGATACGCGATAAATCTCCGCATTTGCTTTTCTTGACCTTCATAATTTTCTGCCATTCAGAAAAAAAATTTACTGTCGACCACGATTATTGTACACTGAATTATGCCTAAGCACGAGATCATAATGCGTACAAAAAATTTCATTAGGTATTACGCTATTTACTCTCACTCTGCACGATTCGTCAAATAAATTTTATTGAATCCGAGAAGAAAAATTGTTTAATTTAACCGAACAGTTGAAGATATTTATCACTGAAAGTACATAAATAATTGTTTATGTTAACGCAAGATAATAATTTTGTTTTTCGATCAAAAATAGTGTTCCTTTCCTCACATTATTTGGAATATATCTGTCTCAATTTTAATAAGCTTGAAATTGTTTAAATCGAAATGTGTTAAAAGTTCAAACTGTTTATTTGATATTTTCTGATTTTTTATGGAAAATATTAAAACAAATATTAGCACCTGATCATAAATATTTAAACTATTAATAATGTTAGTAAGGTGAAGTGGTGTAAGTTCGTAAACGGGGCAAGTGCGTATACAGGCTATTTTTATTACAATATGAGCGAAATTTCTCCATTTAGTATGTTTGTTTCCTTGTTTGTGTTTCACTATAACCCCTTTTATATTTTAGCTAAGAGTACTTGTTTGCAGTATAGAGTACTTGCATAATGCAGTAAAAAGCATTTTATAGCAGATTTGTTGATAATTCTGCGCTTGCCCCATTGCACATGAAATAAAGTTTCAAAGTATTTAACTTCAAGTTACGCTCTTACCCCATTTTCGGGGAAAGTGCAGAGTAGTTGACATTTTAAACAATTTCCTATCAAAATCAAAATGTACAAGGAATCAAAATGTACAAGGAAAATTGGTACAAGGAAAATTGAGGTCCTAGTTAATATTAATTAAATCGTAGTAATTGTGCAAAGCGTTCGATATCGACAGCATTAAATATTTACATAGCAGACTGAAAATACATACTTATACTAAAGGATTAGTATAAGTCATCAATGTGACAAGCAACATTAAACATTCCATAATATAATCGTTTTATAACATCGATTTATTATATTATTTTCAGGATGCTTGGAGGATGATTGGGTATTGACTAGAGGCGTCAATGGTTTTGAAGCTTAATGCCACCGTGACTTTTGCCTGCTGGAATGGAGACGAACGGGACAGACAGCAGCCTGAACGGCACCGAAACCAATCGCACTTCTTCGCCGGTTTTCATTATCAGCACTCGTTATATGACACAATGGTAAGTGAATATGTATAACCATATATGTTCTATATTCTACGCAACAAATTACGATTCATATTTAGGACGATATGTAATGTTACGTGCGCTGAACATTTTTCTATTTTGGAACTGGTTCGGGCGTAGTCAGAGATCAACGAAGCAAGAGTTTCGTGTAGTCTACCCCTTTCCCGCCGATCGGGATTTCCTTATTTGGTAGCCTACAAGAATTTTCCTGCAATTCTGGAAATTCTTAAATTTCTAGATTTCTCAATTTTTAGATTTCTGAATTTCTCAATTTCTAGATTTCTCAATTTCTCAATTTCTCAATTTCTCAATTTCTCAATTTCTCAATTTCTCAATTTCTAGATTTCTCAATTTCTAGACTTAAGAATTTCAGAATTTCCAAATTCCCAAATTTTCAAATCCACAAGTTCCCAAATCTCCAAGTCCCCGAAATCCCCAAATCCCCAAATCCCCAAATCCCGAAATCCCCAAATCCCCAAATCCCCAAATCCCGAAATCCCCAAATCCCCAAATCCCCAAATCCCCAAATCCCCAAATCCCCAAATCCCCAAATCCCTACATCCCCAAATCCCTAAATCCCCAAATCCTTTAATCCCCAAATCCTCAAATTCCCAAATCCCCAAATCCTCAATTTTCCACATCCCTAAATCCCCAAATCCCCAAATCCTCAAATCCCTAAATTCCCAAATTCCCAAATTCCTAAATCCCCAAACCTAAATTCCCAAATCTCCAAATCCCCAGATGCCCAGATCCCCAGATTCCCAAATTCCAAATTCCCAAATCACAAATTTCTAGAGTTCTTGAATTCTTAAATTCCCAAATAAAATATTGCAAATTTCTAAATTACCATATTTCGAAACCTTCCTCCCTCAAGATTCCAAGTATATAAAATTCATTTTTTTTTTGTAAATTTGCAAATTACTAAATTCCCAAATCTGAAAATTTTAAGTCTCCACAGATATAGAAACCATAATCCCTGTCCATATCATGCATAGCCACGCATATCACTCTCCATGAAGTCTTCGAACTCCCTGATCTACCCATCGACGAACTAAACAATCATACGTGAATCTATTGATACGTAATCTTTCCAGATGTTTTCGCCGTATGATACGAATCTACTTCATCTCCAGTAACAGTAACAGTATTTCGGTTTTGGAACGATATAATATTCGTGGCCATTATAATCAAACTTTCGGGCTCAGCCCGAGACGACGTGTATTTATGGAATAATCAGCCTTCGGTGAACTACTTCGGTTACTAGCAAGTATTCAGGTAGTACTAGACGCGCACGCGAAATTTTCGAACAGTTTCCCTGAAGGATATGACATGGAGAAGCAATTTAGCAAGAGGCATGAGGCATTTGTAAATCCGAATTGCACTTTGCAGCGGCTACGAAAGAAACATTGACCTACATTTCGCCCTGAGATTAAGTCGTTGCACTACGAACATGTTCATGAGGATTATTCCGACGAAAAAAATGTTGTCAGTCTGCATTCGGTTTAATAGTGTTTGTAGGACATGGACGCATTAGTACCGAAATTTAAGATTATTTTATTTAGCTACATAAATATTTTAACCCTTAATTTTTTTTACCTGCAAAGTCTTTAACTTACAAAATAGATTCTAGAAAGAAATTATGAATTAATTTATTATAACAGAGTGGAGTGACAAGTACCTATATCTTTCTGAATGATGACTTAAATTTGTTGCTATTAATACAGGTAATGTATTTATCTAAATTATTTATAGGATCTACGAGAAAAATTTTTTAAGCAATTTCTTTAGCAATAAAATATCAAGGTTTCTGATTTTTCTAAATTGTAGTATATTGTATTTTTGATTTTATAGTATCTTTGCTGAAATTAACATGAATTGAACGATCTGTTATATGTATTATGAAAATGAAATGATACTGAATTAAAGTATTTAAGTTTGATTTACAAGAAGCATGGTGAGGAATTTGATAATTTGAGTATTTAGAAATTTGATTAGGCAATTGAGCAATTTGATAACTTGATAATTTAGTGGCTTCGGAATTTGAGAATTTGTGAATTTAGCTATTTGGAAATTCGTAAAATCGATAATTTAGGAACTAGGGAATTTGGTAATTTAGAAATTTAGAAACTTAGAAACTTAGAAACTTAGAAACTAGGTGTTAGGATTAGCTCCAGGAAAATAAACTGCAGTGCTGAGGTGAACGGAAAATACTTTAATAATATAAAAATGTCTTTACAAAATGCGCGGTGCTTCGTAGACGAAGGTAAAACTGTAACTGTAGGACAAAGCATCGTGATGCGTGTTCGGACGCGCATAGCGCAGTTCATTTGTTTTGTCCGTTACTTCCAACACTAGGGAATTTGGTAATTTAGAAACTCGAAAATATGGTAATTTAGGAAGTAGGGAATTTGATAATTTAAGAACTAGGGAATTTGGTAATTTAAAAATTTAGAAACGAGGGAATTTGGTAATTTAGGGACTAGGGAATTTGGTAATTTAGAAACTCGGAAATTTAGTAATTTAGGAACTAGGGAATTTGGTAATTTAGGAACTAGGAAATTTGGTAATTTAGAAATTTATAAATTCTGTAATTTTGAAACTAGGGGATTTAGTAATTTGGAAATTTATAAACTAGGAAATTTGGTCATTTAAAAAGTCAGGAATTTGGTAATTTAGGAATTAAGGAATTTGGTAATTTGGAAACTAGGGAATTTGGTAATTCAGAAATTTAGAAATTTAGAAATTCGGTAATTTTGAAACTAGGAAATTTGATCATTTAGGAACTAGGGGATTTGGTAATTTGGAAATTTAGAAACTATAGGGAATTTGGTAATTTAGAAATTCAGGAACTCGGTAATTTAGGAATTAAGGAATTTGGTAATTTAGGAACTAGGGAATTTGGTAATTTAGAAATTTAGAAATTTTGTAATTTAGGAACTAGGGAATTTGGTAATTTAGAAATTTAGAAACTTGGTAATTTAGGAACATCGGAATTTAGGAATTTATGAACACAGAGATTTGAGAATTTACAAATTTAGAAATTCTTGAGTTTGGTGATTTAAGAAATTGGAAATTTGTCAATTTAGCTATTTGGAAATTCTATAATTTGATAATTCATGAATTCGGTGACTTCGAGATTTAGGAACTCAGAAATATGAAAATTCGTAGATTTGATAAATTAAGAATTTCGATATTCAGGGATTTGGAAGATTCGAAATTTAGGGATTTGCGAACTTTCTAATGTAGATATTTACAAACTTGAGAATTTCGAAAATTAGTATTTTGGAAATTTGGTAACTCAGAAATTCAGCAATTTGAAAATTTAATAATTCAAGAATTTGTACACTCACTAATATTGTAACTTGCTAATCTAGTAATTTAATAATTTGGTAATTTAGCAATTCGATAATTCAGAAATTTAATAATTTGTTAATACAAAATCTTCAAATTTCATAAATTTAGGAACTCCAAAAATTAGAATTTGTATATTTGTCAATATACAAATTTGTAAATTTTTATTCCTTCAAATTTAAAAATTTCAAGAATTATTTTGCAAACATTATAATATAGTACTTTCAAACTTACAAACGTAACATATTAGTTTATAATTAGTTTATTTTTACTAAATTCGTTTTCATAAACATGCATCTAAAAAATTCAAAAATCTCAAATATAAAATGATATAATACAAATAGCAAAAGTGTTTAAGTACATAGTACCCAACACTTCATTCAACTCCACTTTGATAATTACATAATTACAGCGATTATTTCACCATAATTTCCCTGGAACTTCAAGCTAACAATCTTAAGTAGTTGACATTCTGGACGAAGTTGTTCAAAGTTCGAGATTCAAGTGACCATCTGCTGGTTGTCGTTTCCGCCAATGCTCGTTATCGACGAGTAATAGCACATAGTGTGGTTTCTCTCGTACACTCGATATTGCTTGTTCTGCGGGTGCGCTTGGGAAACACACCAAGGTTGAAGGAAATGAGTTTCCACGCGAGGCAAAACGACGGCAAAAATTTCTTAAGAGCCTTCTGTTCCTTTTCGAGACACCATTGTTCTTCTGGCCACGTTTAATGACTGCTTCTATACAATCGATAACTGGATGTTTCTATCTCGGGGTAGTTAAAGGACTTTCAGGTGTCTGCCATCTTTTCAGATACGAACAATGTCTTAGTGGAGAGATATGTAGATAAAGCACGGAGCAACGTGTTGCTTTTAGAAATTTTAAACATTCGGAATATGCATTTTTTCTTCGAATTTGTTCAATTTTATTTTGGAATTTTTTTGTATACAGAGTGCTTTTCGGCAGAAACGAAAAATTTACGGGAAAAAATAAGTTAAAAATGTACAATGAAATGTACAGATTTTTTGTTCAAAATCAAACTGATTTTGAACAGTTTTGAAGTGTTTAACATCTGAATAGAAAATTTTGTATCAATTTTAAATTAATTTGAAAATTATAATGTTATGAATATAATATGATAAAATTTGGTATCAAATAAATTATGTAACTGTATACAGAAAATAGGAAGAGATTTTGACTTGTACACTTTTTGTAGTAAAATAATTATATTTGATTGATTATTATTATACTGATGGAGGCTATTTTTTAAAATCGAAAAGTCTGAATTTCAAATTAATAATATTAGGAGGAGTTATGAATTGAATAATTAATATTAAATTAATATTTCAGCAAATTATATTTAATTTCGTATTTAATTAATATTTTGTTTTTGATACAATTTCTTGTATAACATATCTTTATTTAATTATTATACAGAAGAAGCAATTTTTTAAACTGGAAATATTTGCAATTTAAAGATTATTACATAAATTGTAGCTGTAACTTAAAAGACTGTTATTTGTTTTACATTTTTAGTAAAATTTTTACTTGTTAGCAACAACATACTTATTACATTAATTATACATATATTACGTATGTTCACTCATGTATATGTACTAATTTTATCTGCTATATTATTATTT